CAGGAGGAGATTTGGGACGTCTTCAGCAGAAGTGGCACCCACGTAGTGCGGTTTTTCAACCCTGGCATTTTCCTCGAGAGAGAATCATCTGTGTAAGCTAATTATTCTTGTTATGGGGAGGTCAGCAACAAGATCCCTTAAGAATATTAAGCATGATAATTAATAAGCATCATTTAATCACAATGTTGACTTTGATACACTTGTCAGTATTATAGTGAAGCTACTTCATTACTAACTACCCTTTGAAAATAGTCAGGGCCTTGGATGGTTGCCAAAAACTAATTTTTTTCTCATTGCTAATGGAATGTAGTATATTTTAGCTCAAGGTTTTAAAATAAATGACTGGTTGGCAACTTTTTAAGCACAGACCACAAAATGCAACATAGAAAATGTCTCATTCTGAAAAAGTAGCCCTATATACGTTTCTGGGGATCTCGAATTATGTAGCCAGAGGAACGTATGGCTGCATTTCGTCTTTAAAACGGACGTCATTCCTTTATCATGCTTATCTGCTGATCGCTTACCTACACATGGACAGCTTTCAAGCAAAGAACAGCAAGAACAAGCAAAGAACAATCAAGCTTACGCAAGAACAGCAAGCGCAAATGGCACTTGCAAGATAAATTTAAGAAATTTGATTGGCGAAAACAAAAACTGCAAGAAATCGTAGCATCTGAGGCGTATTTGCCATTCTTTAGAAATGTATATAGGGGGTACATTTTCAAAATGAGCCTGGGTGACTAAATGTCCAACTTAAATTGTGATGAAACTAGCATGTTTTGAATGTATTACGGCACCAAAAAGTGATGGAAAATATTAAACAAACGTGAATTATATTTACATTTCTATAAGTTTCTATAAGTTTGTTTGATTTAAAAAATCTACAATGAAATATTGTGCTGGAAATATTTATTTTGCAAAACCTGTTTGACTTCAAAATAATGAGAAAATTAAAGCCATAATTAAGTTGTTTTAAGTTTAGGATATCTAAAAAATGTTTACTTTTGCTAGTATGTTACTTGAGTGCAGCACCAAATATTTCCTTTAGATTAAATTAATGTTAGATTTTCTATTAATTCCAATGTATTTGTTTACTTTCTTTCCATTGACATAAACATAAATTGAAATACAGTAGGCTATTATGAAATTTGGGCGATATGATGGCTCAGTGGTTAGCACTGTTTGAGTCCCGACTGGGTCAGTTGGCATTTTTGTGTGGAGTTTGCATATTCTCCCCCTGTTGGCGTGGGTTTCCTCTGGGTGCTCCGATTTTCCACACTGTCCAAAGACATTCAGTATACACTCACTGGCCACTTTATTAGGTACACCTGTCCAACTGCTTGTTATCACAATTTTCTAATCAGCCAATCATATAGCAGCACCTCAGTGCATTTAGGCATGTAGACATGGTCCAGATGATCTGCTGCAGTTCAAACTGAGCATCAGAATGGGAACGAAAGGAAAATTAACATGACATGGTTGTTTTTTGCCAGAAGGGTTGGTCTGAGTATTTCAGAAACTGCTGATCTACTGGGATTTTTACACACAACCATTTCTAGGGTTTACAGAGAATGATCTGAAAAAGAGAAAATATCCAGTAAGCAGCAGTTCTGTGCTCGTAAATGTCTCGTTGATGCCAGAGATCAGAGGAGAATGGACAGACTGGTTCAAGATGATAGAAAGGCCAACAGTAACTCAAATAACCACTTGTTACAACCGAGGTATGCAGGTATTGATTTCTGCTGCAACATTCGGATGGTAGGGTCAGAATTTGGCATTAACAACATGAAAGCATGGATCCATCCTGCCTTGTCAACGATTTAGGCTGGTGGTGGTGGTGTAATAGTGTGGGGGATATTTTCTTGGCTTTTTTTGGCCATTTAGTACCAGTTGAGCATTGTGTCAACACCACAGCCTACCTAAGTATTGTTGCTGACCATGTCCATCCCTTTATGACCACAGTGTACCCATCTTCTGATGGCTACTTCCAGCAGGATAATGTGCCCTGTCATAATGATAACGTGACGTGAATCATCTCAGAATGGTTTCTCAAACATGACAATGAGTTCACTGTACTCAAATGGCCTCCACAGTCACCAGAGCTCAATCCAATAGAGCATCTTTGGGATGTGGTGGAACGGGAGATTCGCATCATGGATGTGCAGCCAACAAATCTGCAGCAACAGCGCAATACTTTCATGTCAATATGGACCAAAATCTCTGAGGAATATTTCCAGTACCTTGGTAAATCTATGCCACAAAGGATTAAGGCAGTTCTGAGGGCAAAAGGTGGTCCAACCCATACTAGTAAGGTGTACCTATTAAATTGGCTAGTGAGTGTAAGTGAATTGAATAAACTAAATTGTCTGTAGTGTATGTGTGTGAATGAGTGTGGATGGATGTTTTCCAGTACTGCATTGCAGCTGAAAGGGCATCCCCTGTGTAAAACATATGTTGATAAGTTGGCGGTTTATTCCACTGTGGCAACCCCTGATGAATAAAGAGGCAAAGCCAAAGAAGAATGAATGAATGAATATAATCAATTATATTTTGCTCAGTTGGTTGCTGAGACTCATTACTCATTTACATATTATTTGATCTAAAACTATAGACATAAAACCCCAAAACTAATAGAAATAACAAAACCACGCACACAAAAATACTTAGGTTTTAAAATGTTTAAATTCAAATGAAAACTCCAGATAAACAATACAACATCTATTTACAGTAAAACACCAGGTGTGAGTAAAAGGCCTGCAATAAACAAGACAGCTTATAAACATTATAAACCAAATCTTAGATAACAAATTGGAAAGCGGCAGATTTCCATCACATTATGTGCTTCAGCAACCGTGTAACATTTTAAGAGCCGCTACAACCTCTACTTCTCACGACTGGACGTGTCCACCTCACATGCTGCCTGGCAACCGGACGACACTCATCCTGTCACAGTGGGAATGTACGTGTCAAACATTAACCCACTGGTCAATAGAGCACCACCAGCACATGAATACAAACACCAGCAGCAGCAAGAGTCAGGCTCAACCGCCTGCCTGAGACTTACTGATGCTGATGTTTAAATGAAGTCACTCAATTAGCACACTGAGCAACACATTTAAATGCAGAATCATTGCCCTCAGGAAAACCATAATCCCGACAGACGTTTAATATGGTCTAATAATCAGAATTCTACTGTCTGGCCATATCACTGATGTTGAATCTCTCATAAACACTGTTAAATGTTGATGCGTTATTGTTTGTTTTGGCTCTCAGGTGCTCCTTGAACAAGGTGCACTAACACCTGCCACCTGGACACAAACCCACTTACTGAGATTTACTGTGCTGTGATTAAATGTCAAGCAAGCATGAATATAATCATCACACTGCTAAATGAAAGTAAACTGCTCTTACTATGAGGTAAGATTCAGTTTTGACTTGCCAATGCAATGTCACTGCAATTCATAGGTTTTTAATTTAGTGGCTAATTCGCATTAATTATTACAATCTCTTTTGTGCAGTTAATTTTAGTATGGTTTGCTCATCTTGCAATGAGAGGTAGGGTTAGGGACACAGATATTTTTATAAATGGTCTGTTTTCATGGTATGAACTTTTTTGACATTATGTAAAATATGTTTCCTCATGAAATCAGACTGGACTTGTTGATTTTTAAGCAATAATGTCAAGTTAAAAATCTGAAACAAAAGTATTGTTGCCTGACATTGTTGCAAGCATTTTTTTTCCAGATGCATTCTGATAAATTGGTGTATAGTTTTTTTTTATAAGTGGTTATTTGAAGAATTGAGAAGTTTTTGTTATTAGCGAAACCAGTGACTGTTAAGAGAACTGCAGACAACAACTAACTTCTCATGTATAAATTAACCATTGTTTTGTTACAAATACATTCTGAAAAAGTAAAGTTTTTTTTAGTAGTTGTACCCTGGCAATGTGGAGACAGATCATTCTCAAAAAATAATTCATTTAGAAATAAAATTCACACATCCACCACACACTTAACATTTAAAAAATCTAATTTGTACAAGATTCAAAAATACACAAATCCAATTTTGTAAATTCAAAACACGATTTAGAAGTACACAAATTCCGTTCGTAAATTCAAAACAAGATAAATAAAATATACAAATCTAATTCGACATTCAACATGATGCAGAAATACACAAATCCAATTCGTAATTCAAAACACAATAAAAAAAAAATTTGCTAAATATTTATGATTTTTTCTTGTGAGTTCACAAATTGTGTTTACAAATTCACAAATTGTATTTTGTAAAAAAGAATTGAGCTGTGCATGTACAGATTTTATGTTGTAAATGTATTATTTTTGGCACTGATCTGGCTCCATATGGCAACTACAAATTGACCCTTGTGTTTCCACACTAACCTTTAACTATTGCATTTACAGAAAAAAAAAAAACATTGGTTACTACAATTTTATAATAAAGCAAAGTAGACTAATGAGCAGAACTGTTTTATTGCCTTGATAAACTTTTTTAATTTTTTTTTTTTTATAATAAACATCACTACGCTTATGGATATGTAAGCACAGTTGAAGTCAGAATAATTAACTCCCTTTGGATTTTTTTAAATTATTTTTTTATATATATTTCCCAAGTGATGTTTAACAGAGCAAGGGAAATTTTAACAGTATGTCTGATAATATTTTTTCTTCTGGAGAAAGTCTAATTTGTTTTGTTTCGGCTACAATAAAAGCAGTTTTTAATAAAAAAAAAACATTTTAAAGTCATAATTATTAACTCACATTTAAGCAAATTTTTTGATAGTCTACAGAACAAACCATTGTTATACAATAACTACCCTAATTACCCTAATCTGCCTAGTTAACCTAATTAACCTGGTTATAAGCCTTTAAATGTCACTTAAAGCTGCATAGAAGTGTCCTAAAAATCTAGTAAAATATTATTTACAGTCATCATTGCAAAGATAGATTAAATCAGTTATTAAAACTATTATGTTTAGAAATGTGTTGAAAATATCTTCTCTCCGTTAAACAGAAATTGGGGAAAAAATAAACAAGGGGGCTAATAATTCAGGGGGGCTAATAATTCTGACTTCAAATATATGTGCCTCCATCTTTCCTCTTAATAACAACATTTCCATTTAAATTTAGTCATTTAGCAAATGCTTTACATAAATGCACAATAGAAATAACTTTGGAGAAAACTACATGGTTCTGGCTATGTGAGACTGCAGTTTGAACTTTTTTTTTTACACAACACATTGATATTGCAGTACGGAATGGCTCTTTTCGACATTGTCTTGAACATTAGAAGCATTTGTTCATGTGTTATAAGAGAGGCTCTTAATTTTTAGGACTTATGACTTGTAATTTTCCTAGCTAAAACATCTTATGACTTTCAGAAAATTAGTCTGCAGTATTTTGTTGACTATACAAAGGAAGTACTCTGATTTTTAACTTTGTTGCACTGGCAAAAATAATAACAATAATTTTAATATTTCTAAATAAATGGATGTATACTGGCAAATAAAGGTAAATGGATGTACAATACTGTATGGAAACCACGCTGACAAATAGAAAGGTTCACAAACTTTTAAACTGCATTTAAACTGAATTTGTTGAGAGAAAAAAGCAGTGATTTCACCCATGCATTACACTTTTACAGAATTAAAGTTAAATTAATTGAATTGGGGAAAATGTATACAGTAACAGAAGTTGCAAAATGTAAAGTCATAATTGGGGTGGTAAATCACTAAATAATTCAGAACATATTAATCTAGAAATTTCAGTATAACACTAACAAAACTGTGAAATAGCCTGATTATAATTTCAATCACTTAGTATTTTTGCAGACAGAAATTAAGTTGACATAAATTTATCAACTAATATTTAAAGACATATGCTTATAATTTGAACATGACATTTCATAGCAGATTTCGCATGTTTCTTAGCCTAATCTAGCCATATTAAAAAGACTAAACTGTCTTGGTAGGTTTTGGGGGAAAAGGCATAAAAGAATGTAAACGGATTTTCACTTACTTGATTTTTGCCGGTTTGCGGGGATTTGGACGGTGACGTGTTACAGGTCTCTCATCTCTCCATCACTCTTTCTCTGGGCGGAGGAGGTACGCTTCACTACAGCGCGCATCCACGCACGCGCACGGAAATCTTACAGGAGTCTGTATATGATTTACATCCTACATTTCATTCTGTGTTTCAGTTCTGATTGCAAAGTAGTCTCTAGCGTATCTGAGTGTCTATTTAAATAACACAATTTTTTACTTTTTCAGACTTGTCATTTAGCTTTGATCCAGACTCATTCACCTTTTAAAATAGTATTGCTATATTTACTCATGATTGCTTATTCTTGCTTATCTTATATTTTATTATGGAATTTGAAAAAAATTCTTGCTTATTTAATCATTTCAGTCATTTTGCACGTTTTACTGCATAAGTTCTGTAAGTAAATTTGGTCCGCTATTTGGTTTGGTCCAGAGAAGGCCACCAGAGGGAGACAATGAGTTGGGGAAAAAAGAAAGGAAACTTAAATTTATAAATATGTTAAAACTTCATTTGAGCGAAAGATAACCTGATGTCTATATAGAGACATTCAAAATCAGAATATTCATATTTTGAAAATTACTTACAGTTGTCTACGGTGCTAAAAAAAAAAAAAAAAAACCTTTACCCATTTTAGAGAATCAAGTTTTGATAATGGTGGTTTATAAACTGATTAACATGAACTTCTAGATCGCATAACATCACAACTGGCTCAAATTCTGCAGAGCTTCAATATCTATTTTTTATTTTTTGGTATTTATTTTCTTCTTTTCTTTAAAACAAATGGCTGTATTTGTTGTTGTTGTTGTTGTTGTTGTATTTTCACTAATTACTTATCAATTCACGTCAAAACACTTTCATTTTTTTCGTAAAAAAAATTCACCTTAATATCTAACAATAACGTACCAATATTTTTAAATTAAAATTAAAATCAGTCATGAATTTTCAACTTTTGCCCCACACTTGCTATTTTAATTTAGCTATCTGTTGAAAGTGTATGCGCGCGCATGCGCATATGCTAAATACAAGCTTTTCTTCCCTCTGACTGATGGGATAAAACAAACGAGGCTGTCAGTGTAAGAAAACCTAAACATTGTTCATTCATGTTCTTTTCGATTAAGTCTTCATCAGGGGTCGCCACAGCACAATGAACCGCCGACTCCAGCATACACAGCAGTTGCCCTTCCAGCTGCAAACCATCTCTGGGAACACCCCTACACTCTCAATAACACACATACATAACACTACGGACAATTTAGTTTACCCAATTCATCTATGGCGCATGTCTTTGGACTGTGGGGAAAACCGGAGCACCCGGAGGAAATCCACGAGAACACGAGGAGAACATGCAAACTCCACACAGAAATGCCAACTTACCCAGCCGACACTCGAACCAGCGACCTTCTTGCTGTGTGAGGCGACAGCGCTACCCACTGTAGTGTCTCTCCATGCACTGCCATTTTAGGTTGAGTGCATTTATATCAGGGGTGTCAAAATCAATTTCTGGAGGGCCGAAGCCCTGCACAGTTTAGTTCCAACCCTGCTCCAACAGACTTACCTGTAGGTTTCAAACAAGCCTGAAGGACTCAATTAGTTTGATCAGGTGTGTTTAATTAGGGTTGGAACTAAACTGTGCAGAGCTGCGGCCCTTTTGGAACTGAGTTTGACACCTGTGATTTATATGGTTTGGCTTATTATTTTTCAGGCTTATTAACGAAGTTTATATGTGCGAACAAAACTCTTTCTTGACGTGCTGTCATTGTCCGATAGAAGGCGCTGTTGACATTCCAACGAACTACCCTTTACTCTCTGCGGAGGGTCTCAGTTATGTTAATGCATGTTGTTTCTTAATCAGGTTGTGTGGTTTTTACTCATTTTGTATATATAGTAATTAGTTTGTGCTGTCATTTATCTCATTATACATTTCCCTGTCAGATTAAAAAAAAAAAAAAACGTATGATAACGACAGTGGTAAAACTGACCTAAACCTAAACTGTCTTATATCCTAATTTTATAAAATTAGCTACATTTTCTGTTGTATTTTGTTAGGCTCTCAATATTCAAGCTTTTGAAATATCTAATATGATAAGCCTCTTCTTAAAATATGGACATGCTTATATTGCAGAAATGGGGTCAGTTCTGTATGAGAACAGTGTTCACCCAAAATGAAAATTGTCATCATTTACTCTCCTTTAGCTTCTTTCAAAAGTTTCTTGCTTCTATTAAAAACAAAAAAAGGATATTTTGAAGAAGCCTGTCACCATTGACTGCCATAGTATTTGTTTTTTTTCTATTATGGAATTCAGTAGTTTTCAACTTTCTTTAAAAAAATTTTTTGTGTTTAATAGAAGCAAGATACTCATAAATGTTTGAAATAGTTAATACATTTTCCTTTTAGGTGAACTGTCCATTTAAGTCCTTTGCAAAGTGAAACAATAACCCTTAATGTTGTCAGTGTACCAATGTCAAAATGTAAATTATTTGGATGAGTTTTTTGCACATTAATATTTTACGTTTTACAGTAACTTTTACAACTGCATTCAAGCTATTTAATTAGATCAATCCATCTTTAATTAAGTTCTGTATTCTATTGATGACATATAGATAGAGAAGCGAAGCGGTCTAAGAACAGAGCCCTGAGTCACGCCAGAAGCTAGATTTTGCCACCTCACCCCATCTAGGCCTAAAGGACCTACAATATCTGAGAGGTAAGTTATGTACTGTGTGTTCAGGGGACGATTTGATTTTCCTGAAATGTTTGTTGCAGTGAAAGATAAAATGTGAGGTGTCTTCATATAAAAGTTTGTTTGTTGGCAAAATTATTGCTACAGTATGATGCAGTATGATGTGTGTTTTGATGTTTTGAAAAAGAAAAAAATCCAAATCCACGTTCATGTACATGCAGAGGTGGCTCTGATCTCTTATAATCTTGCTTTTGGATGTTTTATTTAAATCCTGCACTAGCCAGATTTCAGACAACCAAGCAGAAACAGCAGAACAGTTTGTAAATCCTTTCCATGGACTTTTGTAAATTCCATGATTCATTGATTGATTCATTGATTCATTCATTCATTTTCCTTCGCATGCGTTCCTTATTTATCAGAGGTCACAGTGGTATGAACCGTATGCTTGAGTTTTAACATAACCATAAATAATATTTAAAATAATTCCTAAAAACAGAAATAACAGCAAACTCAAAGCGCCCTGTCATTCACCTCAATAAGGCGTAAGATGTGTTTGACATGATTTGTTGCTATGTTTAGATCAGTGCAACCCTAATTTTCACATTTTGCGCCGTGTTGTTTAAATAGCAAATCCATTTTCGCCACTTTGTGGACTCATGGGTGTGCCGGTCCCAAAAGGAGGTGTGTGAAGGCGCATTGTTTGCGTGTTGGTATTTTGAGAAACTGAAATAGACTGCACCATTGACCAACAAAAAGTCCAGCGCAGAGCACGTTAGTTATGCGCCTAAGCAGGTTCAAACGCTTAATGCATACAGGATATCCTGCATTATACAAAATGTCTTTACATATAAAAAAACTAAAGGATTAAAGTTTAACAAAATTTTTTATTTTCCTCATGAATATTAAAACCACTGTCTTCATGTCTTCTTCATGTCCGGGGGGCTTTTTCAGTTTATTCATGTCAATTTGCAGTTTAATAATGTTAATATTGTTTATTTTATGCATATTTTTATTTTGTTTAAAAAAACAAGTTTAGATTTGTCTAAAGAATAAGAAAATAAAAACGCATAAGAAAAGAAAAACATTTTTTTGACCAAACTTCATTATTATTGTTCATTTATTAATTTGCTGGAAATTAGAACTGAATTTAGAAATAGTTTTGAAACAAATCTTTGTGCTTAACAAACTAAATTAAATATGTAGGCTAATAGATGTCTTCAGTGTAGTGAGTTTCCACAGTATCCTTACTCCACACAAGTAAAGGAGTAAAGAGTAGAGGTAAAATAAAGAGAAAGTGAAGAGGGCAAATGGAAGTGGCTCGTTTTTATCCTCGCACTGCAGATGGTCTGTTTAACTGTTTTCTCTTAGGTGTTCAGTTTTTCCACTTACGAAGTCTGCCTTGTAAATAGCAAATGTGCCATGGCGTGACGCAGCTTACTCTTAAAGGGAATGAGAGATGGAACTCTGATTGGTTTAACTTATTAAGAGAATAAGCACAATCCTGTTAGACCATGCCCTAGGGTGCAAACCATGTTTTTCCATTCTAAAAATAGCAAAAGTGGATTCAGACATGCTCTTAATGCTTTTGCACCATGTGCTTTAGACTTTGCACCTAGATCGTTAAAATAGAGCCTTAAAGTCTCAAAGTCAAGCACACAAATATTTAAAAGATTTTTTCCCTCCTATTTTCTGCACAACAACTTCACTAACATTATAAGTGAACCAAAGGGAGAAAATATAATACTAAAATAAGCTATAAAAATTGTTTAAATCAATGGTCTAATACAGACAGATGGTCCTCCTCATTGAGATTGTGTTCTGAAAGTGTTTGGTAAGTGAGCTAATGGGGTCGTTCATGTCACACAGAACACACTTTCTGGGGGAAAAAAGCCTCAAACTGAAATGTTGGGAGCTGATTTTATTTTTCCAGCCCACTGACCCAATTTTCAATTGTTCTCAGCACCAGACAATAGAGACAAATGGTTTTATAACTAGTATACAATACCTGTGTGTTATTCAACATTACGGTTATGCAGGTTTTTTTATTGTGAGAGGATTGTTTGGGTGTATTTTTTTCCTTTGTCTGCCATGTCTTTATGTAACCTCTCTTTATTGTCTCCTATAATTTTGATAAAGCGACAACTTTCAGTTTGACCGCTCATTGGCTTCAATTGTGCGTCAGACCTCACGGCTGTGACGACATGAGGGGTTTGATGGATCCAGTTCTCATCCAGAGACACACGCAAAGCTTGTCCTTATAGCAGAAAGAGAGAATGAGTAGCGGTCTGTGAAAGACACAACTCACACCCCCAACTTGAGCTTAATTGCATAAAGACATTGTTGTTTTGTGTGATTAGCCTGGGGGTTGTTCCACTGTTTCTTTTAAAGTTTTTATTTAGGTTAAATACATGTAAATCTTTGACATGCTGTCATTTATGATTGAAAATAAGTGTAATTTGAACACAGTTTATAATGGGATCTAAAACAAAAAAGGGTTTAAAGTATCAGGAAATATTTATAACATTTTTACCCTATAAAGTAGAATATGCCTCTTTAACTGCATTTTATACACTAAAACTAAAATGTCTTTCAGTTTAACTATAGTTTATATAACAAAAAACAAAAATAAGTATGGTTAGATTAATAATAGATTAATGTTAAATATTTGTGTTTGAACTAAAATGGCCATAGTGTATAAGTGTGTGTATGGGTGTTTCCCAGTACTAGGTTGAGGCTGGAATGGAATCTACTGCGGAAAACTTACGCTGGTATAGTTGGTGGTTCATTCCGCTGTGATGACCCCTGATAAATGAGGGACTAAGCTGAAGGAGAATGAATGAATTAATGAATTATTTGATGACATATTTTTGTCATGTTAAGGCATACAGTGCAATCCCAAAATACGCATTGTCTTTGTTAATTGTTATGCTTAGCTTACATAACATACATAAAAGCTCGGTTTAACCCATATATCAGCAAATAATAAATTAAAATATAATAAAGTTTAGTTTAATCCTTTATTAATTTTTTTCCATTTACACTCACTGGCCACTTTATTAGGTACACCTTACTAGTACCGGGTTGGACCCCCTTTTGTGTGTAAAAAAAATCTGTTGCAGCTGAATTGCAAGATAAATAATTGAGAATTTTTACACATATTTTGCCTTTTTACTTTATTAAATAAAAGAAACATTAATATAGTCTCTTCACTACTTGCATTTAATGTGCATTACATTTAATTAATAAGGACACTACAATGAGTTGTCTTTGACCCAAAGTAAAAAACAAATTAAGCTTGACATTTTGCTTTTAAACCTCATGTGTGGCTTTACAGATTTTCTCAGAACTGTGCTTCATTACTTTAGACTTGATTAGTTTCAAGTCACATCTGAAACTAGGGAGCAACTTTGAAGATTGTTTTTAGAACGGGACAGAACTAAAATAAATAGTGGTGAAAACGTGGAATTAAAATGTTGAGCTTGTCCACTTTTGTCCACTTTCAGATAAGGTCAGAAACATTCATTCATTTATTTTCTTTTCGGCTTAGTCTCTTTATTAATCCAGGGTCACCACAGTGTAATAAACAGGCTTATCTAACTTAATTTTACACAGCGGATGCCCTTCCAGCCGCAACCCCTCTCTGGGAAACATCTACACACTCTTTCATACACACACACTCATACATTATGGACAATTTAGCCTACCCAATTCACCTGTACTGTGGGGGAAACCGCAGCACCCGGAGGAAAACCACTTGATCACAGGGAGAACAGGCAAACTCCACTCAGTTATGCCAGCTGAGCCGAGCCAAGGTTCGAACCACCGACCTTCTTGCTACAGCACTACCTACTGCGCCACTGCGTCGCCGGTCAGAAATCAGATTGCTTTTGTGGTTTAAATGCTCATATGGTCCTAAAACCAACATTATTGGTTGTGTTGTCAAAGCACAGATAGGATTTTAAATTTTTTGTCTGAAAAGTTAAGTTTGGTTTGAAGGTGAAAATTGTTAATGTCACAATGTTCAACTTTCCAGTCCTGATAAGTTATTGCGGCTATCAGAACAGTAACAAAAGCTGCTGTTCCCAACAATTTCTATTGTCTAATTTGCATTAATATATTTAAATTGGGAAAGTTTAATATGCAAAAATAAATTTAAAGACAGTAGCTCTTTGTTTAGCACTGTCGCCCCACAGCAAGAAGGTGTCCTTGTGTTCAAGTGGGTTTTCTCTGGGTGCTCTGGTTTTTCCAACACTCCAAAGACATGCGCTATAGGTGAATTGAATAAACTAAATTGGCTGTAGTGTATGTGTGTGCATGTGAATGTGAGTGTGTATGGGTGTTTTCCAGTACTGGGTTGTGTCTGGAAGGGCATCCACTGCATAAAACATATGCTTGATAAGTTGGCGGTTCATTCTGCTGTGGTGACCTCTGAAATGAAATACAATGAGACTACCCTGAAGGAAAATGAATGAATGAATGAAATTGAAATATCAGAAAGAAATCCCATAAAGTGCATACTGCCAAAAGACTCTTCTCACACAGATTGTGGTCAAAATGTGATAAAAAGACAAATTAACATTTTTATATTTATAATATGTTATTTATATCATAAATATAAAGGTGTATACCTCCTCTTCTTGTGATCGAGTTGAACAAAACAAATCTTTAAGGATTAGTTCACAGAAAAACTAAAATTCTGTTATTAAAGGTTCACGAAACCCTCGAGTACTTTTTTTGAGATTTTAACAGATTTGTATGTGTTGAGCATTAGTTAAGACAATGTTAGCACCTGTTAGCTTTAATTGTGGGAAAAACTGGATAATTTTGAGCTTATGTCAGCTAATTTCAGCTTCCGGGTTAAAAATGATTTTTGGGGCGTGATCAAAAATGGCAATGTACTGCAAAACTGCAAGTGGAGTGATGATGCGTAGGTTTCTCATTATTATTCATGGCGGAGTTTTTCTCTCATTATTATTCATAGCGGAGTCTGCTTCTTAATTATTCATGACTGTGCATCCTTTCTG